AACTTTTTTGATTTTAGCAAATGGCTGCAATGAAACAAAGAGTGAAAAATGTAAAGGGGTCTGAATACTTTCCGTACCCACACTATATATCTCTATATCTATCTATATATATCTCTATCTATATATATAGATAGAGATAGATATATATATATATATAGAGATAGATATATAGATATATATATATATAGAGATAGATATATATATATAGAGATAGATATAGATATATATAGAGATATATATATATAGATATATATATATAGATATATAGATATATAGATAGATATATAGATAGATAGATATATATAGAGATATCTATATCTATATCTATATATATATAGATATATAGATATATATATATAGATATATAGATATATATATAGATATAGATATAGATATATAGATATATATATATATATCTATATCTATATAGATATAAATATATAAAAAGTGTTTCGTCTCTCCAGCTCTCTCTGACTTTAATTGTTTCCATAATAAAGTTATTGAGGGAAACATGAAAACACAAATCTTTCTAATAAATGTAGAAAGTTGTTTGTGATCCTTTTGTTGTTCAGTCTACAATGAACATTTACTTAAACCAGATGTTGAATCAGAAAATGAATCAAATATAAACTAGAGTTTATTCTGTGATCTGTCTTCACTGTTTACATGTTGAACAAAATTTCATCAATCCAATCGGCTGCAGCGTCCAATCACATGACTGATGAACAGTGAGGGGGCGTGTCGGCCGTGAAAAGACTTCCTGGAAGTCTGTTCTCTTGGGTCCTCGCTCATGGCTCCTCAGAGATCCCTCCTCCCTCCTCGATCCTCGCTCCTCAGAGCTAAATAAGAGCTTTGAGATGGCCGTCAATATGGCGGTGCAGAACAACTTCCTGTTCGAGCGAGGATCGAGGAGCGAGGAAATGACAATTAAGAGACTTGGGATGTACCCCAGGACCCACACGAGCATCAAAGAAAGGTTTGTGTTTCTGAGTTTGATGGTCACAAGAACAATGACATCATGGATGTGTGCGGTTGAGAGCTTCACGTATTAAAGCTGCATTCTCTCCAGTGTCCACCAGGGGGCGACTCCTCTGGTTGTATAGAAGTCTATGAGAAAATGACTCTACTTCTCTCTTGATTTATTACCTCAGTAAACATTGTAAACATGAGTTTATGGTCTCAATCTATAGTTTCAAGTCTTCTTCAATACAGCATGATGTTCATTTAGTACGTTATGGTCCATTTAGAGTCAAACAGACCATAAAGCAGGGGATGCTTTAGGGCGGGGCTACACAGTGATTGACAGGTCTGTACCAGAGACGTATACGGCGTCTCTACGTCACTCCTCCTCCTCAGTCCAGATATGGTCACTTCCTGTTCACTGGTTGATAAAAAAATACAAGATGGCGACGGACAAAACACAGAACTTGAGGCTTCATAACGTCCACTTCTCATATATAGTCTGTGGTTTAACTATTACTTCATTAGTGAGATATTTTGGTGTACCGAGATACTTCTGGACAGGATGCTCAGTAAATACTGGTGAGACATCTGGTGCTAGACATCGGTGGAGTTCAAACGTGCGGTGCCAGGTGAACGTAGAGGGCACACAGCAACGACATAATGGACAGGTAGAAGAGGGCGAAGCCAGCCAGCTGGACTCGAGGGGAGGGGCTAGTTGGGGGCGGAGCCATAGTGAGCAACACGCCCACCGTCCCGTAAACGCCACCGCCGTCCCCCTCCAGGACCTCCCCCACTGAACAGAGACGGTCCTGAGGGGGTCGAGGGGTGAAGGACAAAATGTTTGGACAGATGGACAGAATAATAAAAAACAAAAAGGATTCATGAAAGGTGAGGAAGATGAAAGAGAAGAAAGAAAGCTGTTAGTTGAGGAGAAGCAGAGGAGCAGACAGTGATGTCACACAGATCCTGGAGTGAGGCCACGCCCACCTGATCAATTTAGAATAATCAGTTTAAGAGGTAAACGAGTGTCCTGTGACATCACCGTCCATCCATCCATTGCAACGAGGTACCAGGTGTCTTCAATACTGACATGTGAGTATCTAATGTCTGATCAGATCAATACCAGGTATCACAGGTGAGGTATAATCATGTGTGAGAGAGTTACCTGTGGAACGCCGATCCTACGACACGCCTCCAGGAAGTTCTCAACGTTTCGACGACATTTGGCCATCGTGAGTTTAGGCTGCAGGACACAGACGTAGAACCAGAGTTATTATAGTAACTAACAGCAGGTCTATGTCTACTAAGTAATGATGACAGTAAAACAACAATAACTACAACATTTCACCAGAGACTTTGACAGTGTGGCTTATCCTGCCTGAAGACGTCGCAATATATATTTCCACGCCAATGTTACCGGTAGTATCGTTGAGGTTCAATTGAGATATCGCTTCTCTCTTTTCTACATTTTAGATTCATAATCTTGGACTGAATCTTGTGTTCGTGATGGACAGTCCACAGATGTCTCCCGTCATTTCTGTACTGAGATACACATCTTTGAAAATTACATTTCTGTATTTGTGATGGAAAGACTTGAACTTAACATTTTTACTGTTTTAACATAACATGAACCTCATTCTGAGCTTCATGTTAAGATACAGTTACTCCACTGGGCTTTTATTTTGAAAGGGTGGGGCTGGGTGGGTGAGAGGAGACAGAATCATAAGGTTTGACACACAAACACAGAGGTTATTAAATGACAGACTTGTGTGTGTGTGTGTGAGAGAGACAGACAGACAGACAGAGAGAGAGAGAGAGAGACAGACAGACAGAGATAGAGAGACAGACAGACAGAGAGAGACACAGAGAGACAGAGAGACTGACAGACAGAGAGAGAGAGAGACAGAGAGACTGACAGACAGAGAGACAGACAGACAGAGAGAGAGAGACAGAGAGACTGACAGACAGAGAGAGAGAGACTGAAAGACAGAGAGAGAGAGACTAAAAGACAGAGAGAGAGAGACAGAGACTGACAGAGACACTGATGTGTTTTTTATGTTTGTGGTGTTGAAAATGTGAGCTCCAGAGCAATACACAAAACTGGTACCGTCTGCTTTCTTTGAGAAATGAGTGGTCAGATTTAACATGGAGTCTAATGGAGCAGTTGGTTGGAGTTCATGTCGCTCTGCGGCTCCTTGAGCCAAATATGTACATTTTCCTGAAACTTGAAAGGCCACGTCCACATCACTCCGTTTCCATTTTAAACTCCTATGCTCTGCTACGTCCACACTGAGCGTCCACACTACGTTCACACTGAGCGTCCACACTACATCCACACTGAGCGTCCACACTACGTCCGCACTGAGCGTCCACACTGAGCGTCCACACTACGTTCGCACTGAGCGTCCACACTACGTTCACACTGAGCGTCCACACTACGTCCACACTGAGCGTCCACACTGAGCGTCCACACTGAGCGTCCACACTGAGCGTCCACACTACACAGAGTTTTCGAGCACCGTAAACGGAGGAGTTTGAAAACTCCGGGTTGTGTTTCGTGTGGACGGTTGAAAACGGATACATTTAGAAACGATGACGCCCACACTTGATTGGTTGTTAGCAGTCATGACGTGTCCTTCCCTGATTCGTCACACTCATATCACGTGACCCGTACCCGGAAGATCACAAACAACAACATTGATTACCGATCGACTACCAGGTTAACTCAACACGGACAACTGATTACAGGTGTTACTGACCTTGTTGTCTTTACCAGCAGCTGTTGTTCAGTTAAAGTCTGC